GCTGAGGCTCATCTATGTCAAAAACTAGAGGGTTCAGAATTCTAAAAAATGAAATTCCGTAACGTTTGGCCAAGCCGAGAAGCATGTTTCTTCGTTTGAAGAAAAATGTTAGAAAAGGATAGATTGCTCCATGTGATATAAACATATATATATACTCTGGCCACGTGTATGATTGACGATACAGAGAGATTCGGGGAATCGCGCCGCGACTACAGGACTTTATAGCGATCGCGACGCGAGGTAGCGAATCAATAGCGATCGCGTCGCGAGTCTTCTAAAATACGTTTCTTGAAAGGATACGACTTTACCGCGATCGCCTGGCGACTTCGCGAGTTCACAGCGATCGCGCCGTGAGTTAGACGCGAGTGTCGACCTGGGTTAGCCTAACTTGTGATACTTGTTCTGCCTCCTGTTCCGTTCGCATAAAACTGAAAAAAAGTTTTTCTATGAAAGAGCACGGTAAAATCTATAAAATTTGAAAAAGCAAAGTATACTTGATGGGTGGATCCTTGAAAAAGGATTTTGAAATATCCAAGGCTATTCTCACCAACAGTTTTCATCGAGAACCGATGAAAATTCAGTTCTGTAGGTAGTTTTTGATGCTGAAAACAAATATAATGTTAGCAGGAAGTCTAGACAGGACTAAACATACGACACGACAAAAAGGGAAGTCAAAGTCGTTTTGTCAATACTATGTAAGTTCACTTTTATATCGTCTAATTGCTTCTTTTTAAACAAAAGTTCTGTTCGTTATTCATTTCTAGTCATTCAGCAGGTTTCCAAATAATTACTGCTGTTGGAAAGTCTAATTCTTCTTTTCTACTTGGATAGGAGAATGTACTTGTCGGTCCTCTTGCATCTAAATATGTTGACGGTCTGCTCTTTCAAAGACAACAAACATTTTGAATTTTTGTGCAAGACGAGGGGCAGAGGAAACATCACGAGTAGGCGAAATGGGTACAAAATCACCAAAACTATCATATTTTGGCATAAAAAGTCTTTTAAAGATTTGTCGACTCTCGTAACAGCTACAAACTGCAGTTTTTATCAAAAATCATAATTTTTAATTCTAGACAAGATCTGTATGGTTTCGACGCTTGCATCGAAGGTCAGCGTAAGGATGGTATAGTCCTGATTGGTAGTGGGATAATAACCCACTAGGATCATGCAAAAAACGGTAAATGGATGGACTTGGTTTTATTTCGGAGAATAAATTATTTCCCTAGTTCTATAACTTGTGAAGTTTTATTTTAAAAGATCTACTGGTTTAAATATAAGTTTTATTTCTCACACTTGTGCTTTGACGAAAAAAAGCAAAAACATAGAAAGTATATGTATTCACTTACAAATAAGTAATTTATCGAAAAGAATGGAATAGAGATAAGTTCAATATTTAACCACATTTAATGTTTTTTGTCTGAATCTTTGTTTCCACCATGCTCGCCACCTGATGAACTGCTCTTTGGTTCATTAAGCGTTGCTCCCGTTGAGGTAGATGTACCTGCTGATGAGCCACCAACCCCAAGACTTTGTCCCACAGAGCTTATATCATATGTGTTGCTTCCATGAGTGGCAACAACGTGCTTGCCTGTTGATGATGCTGAGTCAGTTTCTTTCGATGACATGTTTTCTGCAATGTTCAAATCGTGAATAACGAATAAATAAATTAATTGCGTATATAATTTTTTTTCTAAAAACAATAAAGAAATTGTGTTAAACTAATGAATATCTATCTATAGCTGACTGCTTTCTCTTTTTATTACGTGTATCTGTCACGTTGCAAGGAAATGTATGAATGATAAGAGCACGAAGGTGACACGAGAACTAAAAATTGCATAGAAGAAGAAAAAACTATTTTTCTCTCGTGATTTAGACTCTACGAACCTCATTTTTTTCTTTTCTTTCTATGTTGATATGATGACGTGGAATATTATCCACATTTAAAAAAATAATAAATTCCCACCCGTAAAAGAAGACCAGCCTAAGGTTTGTAAGTTGCAAGCCGGTATAGATGATCATGGTCTTTTATTTCTGCCGTATTTTTTTGCAAAGAAATAAAAATATATTTCGAATCAAGAGAAAGAAGCTTTTTAACGTGTTGTGCTGAAAGGACGTCCTGTTTGTATTGATTATTCAATCACAAAATTTACTTTGAATAATTCTACTATCCATTTCAATGAACAGTGCACTGTGCAAACAGTGGATTGCAAGAAGCAAGAAAACACACGGTGAGGTTGTATGAAATTTCTTCGTGTTACATTGGCAAACTGCATGTTAGTCAAATAATGATTACAATGCCGACTATGTACTAAGTCTACCTGAGTACATGTACAATAGCGTGTGTTATTCTATCTTTTATATAACCTTCATCTGAAAAAAACGCATCTCATCCTTATACCTGAGAAGAAAAAAAATTAACTGTCAGCATATTACCGTAGCTATATGTTTGAGTTCTATTGCAATAAACGAGAAACAAACAAACAGTCTTTCGGCAACGAGATCACTACAGTAATGTACTGAATACTGATTAAATTTTGAAAGTTAAGGAACACAGGTTACTGATGGTAAACTTAGTTATTCTTAGCCGCTTTTTGAGTGTTGTCAGTATTTCGTGAGTAATGGAGCAATCATAGTACGCATTCTACAGAAATAAAATCCACCTTATCACTTTTTGTATTACATTGTATGCAGAAATTCCACATTGGAAGTAATGGAAAGAAACTGAGAAAAAAATTAAAAGATAATGCACAACGGGCGATAATCCTTGCAAAGGCTATAATATTTCGATATAAAATAAAAATACTCATACATAGGTGTGCGTCGAAGCATAAATGCCTCTGTCACTTTGTTAGTTTTGGTTATTATGAGAGAGAGAGTGTATAGTAAGTAGGTGAGCTGAGTCTTACCTGTTGATCGATGTAAAAGTTATCTTACAATTCATTAGCGTTAATTAGTACTAATCAATTTTCAGAGAGCAGGTATTACCCCTCACTTTAATTTCGACTCTTAAACTTAATTAAAACTAATTTAAATTATCAAATTATTTCAATAAATTTTCTATTACAAAAATATTTTTTTAAATGAATTTGAGCATAAAAATTAATTTGAAGCAATTTAAAGCACGAAATTATTTCGAACGAGTTCGAAATAAATTAATTTGAACCAATTTAGTTAAACTAATTTAAATTAATGTTTTTTCAAAATAATTGAAACTAATTTTAGCCTAGAAATTAATTTTAGTTGATTTTAATTGGGAAATTGATGTAAATTAATTTTAGTTGATTTTAATTGGGAAATTGATGTAAATTAATTTACTACAGACGAATTTAAATTAATTTGGCTATTTAAATTGATTAGAAGTAATTTTTCATCTGTTTTTGGATCACAAATTAGTTTGCATTAATTTAAAATTATTTAAAAGTTCCAATGGATTGTGTTCATAGCCGTTTATTTTCTAACGATATATGTACCATCTGGTGTTATGTCATAGTTATTATATATATTTCGTATCTGGAAAACGAAAGCTTTACTCAGTGGATAATCTATATTCCTTTTCTAAGAGGTCTAGGTTATTCTTTGGAGAATGTACCACATTTACATCGACTTTCTGCCAACTGTGTGGCGCTTTCAGGACTAGTAGAACTCATCACAGTGAGCACAAAAATCATCCTAAAAACAGGGATAGATAGTTTCTATTACTTATTATACCTCTTCAAAGCTGAAAATGTGGAAAAATTCAAAACCAGAATCAAGTAGACTTTAAAGACTAACTGAGATCTAATTAAAAATTCTACTCATAACAATGTATTACATCTTCTTTTCTCTTCCAAAGGAAAAAAATTTCCTTTCCGCGATGCTCCATACGAAAAAATTATTTAAATTACATTTAGCACGTTACGAAAAAAGAAGTAGGACAAAAAAGTAAAGTAAGTTTCTAAAATATATTTAAGGCTTCTTCGATATGCAACCGATATGCCAGTGACTGGAATGCATTTTGGTCGAAAATAATTCTATTGTTAAGAAATATGCACGAGCATCTTCCGAAATGCAAGGATGCCTCGAAAACTATACACTATCCTGAGAACAGTCTTAAAGCTTGACCATTCTCTCCGCTACATGAAAAATGCTTTCTGCTTAAAAGGTCGCCAAAAAACCGCCAGAAATCCACTAAAAAACGTTTTTCTTCTAAACTTTAACTCTCATCTCTCCAGTCCAATGGCACTGAAATCGGGTTACCCCATTGAATCTGTGTCCAAAGAGTGCTTGGATGTGCGGTAGAATGCTTGGATTCCTTAGAGAACGTACATGGGACCAAGTACTTGGACTAAGTACTTCGTCTGCGTAATGAAGCCGGTACTTGTCTTCTTTCCAGAAGTAAACTTACTTGTAAGTACTTGTCCTTACTTGTCATGTACTTTTAGAAAGTACTACTTAGCAATAAGCCAAGTATTTCGATCGTTCACAAGTAAAGAGACGTTCTACAACTTAGGCCAAATCCTCAGGAAAACAACGAAAATGCATTTTTCTGCTGCGAGGGTAAAATGGCTATAGCTTTTTTCTAACAAGGCTAGAGACTTGCGGTTGTCATCATTCGGTTCTGCTGGTTGAGCTCTATAATATGAGGTAGGTCTCGTCAAAGGCCGATGGAAATGGTAAACGGTTTTATATGGATTTAGGCTATGCATCGATACGGAAAACATCACTCTCAGTAGTATTTCTAGTGTTAGGACACCCAAGCCGCATTTGTTCTCAAAATTATACATATCATTTTGTAGCCCACAAAATTCTCTATCGAATGATATATAGCGTGGAGTAGTTAACAATAAACTGGCTGGACAATATAAGCGATGAGCGCTGTTGACCTATGGATTTGTGAAGGTCGGGGCTTGTATTTTGTATTCATTTAAGGGAGAAAAGTTTGGATGCGGATTTTTCCCAGGGGAGGTGAAAATCGTGTTTTTGAGGTACTCGTTTTAATCACGGAAAAAAACTATATCAAACTTGTGAATATGAGCTTGATCTGAGAAGGGCCGATTTTGCCTCTTATCGACTCCCGTCCTTTGAAGAAAAAAGATGGAGATTTTAAAGAAAAAGGTGATGAACTTCTAAAAATATGTATGTCGCATATTCATTTATTCACGAGTGAATTCGAAAGTTCTTTGCGCTTTCCTGCCGGAAAAAGCTCAAAAACGTCCAGAATGCTGTGCCATTTTTGACACAGATGAGATTTTTGTTGAGAGAGTTGCAGTTGGAGTAGGAAATTTGAAAACGGAGTTGAGTTGAAGTGGAGTTGTAGTTGAAAGTCAGCGGAGTTGCCCAATCCAGTTCCATTTAGTGAGCTGTGGGACAGTGAAATATACTTCCGATTGATCTACAGGAAATAGCAAAACACTTTTTCTTTTTCTCTTGTTCCTCTTTACTGGAATTTGTTTTCCTTTTCGAACAAAGCTCCGAATAATGTCTTTAAATAGTTAGGTGTTAACAGGGCTGGGCAACTCCGCTGACTTTCAACTCCAACTGAACTCCGTTTTCAAATGTTATACTCCAACTCCAACTCCGCTCAAAGTTTTTCAATTAACAGCAGCCATAGACTAAACTGAAATCTATTTTATTAAAAAAGATCTGACATTTCGACTCTTCATAGAGTCATTTTCAAAGAATATTACAGAACATTACTGATGACAACATTTCATGCGTAAAGTACAGTAATGTTCTGTAATATTCTTTGAAAATGACTCTATGAAGAGTCGAAACGTCAGATCTTTTTTAATAAAATAGATTTCAGTTTAGTCTATGGCTGCTGTTAATTGAAAAAAGAATATTCTAATCAAATTATTGGCTCTTAATCGTTTTAATGTT